GATTAAGCTGAGTCCAGTCAGTCTGGTTGTTTTATTCTCCAGGTGCTCAGAACAGGTGCCACATGACAGTTGGGTTTAGCCAGAGTCCGGGTCTTGCCAGGTGAGTACTAGAGAGGCACAGAAAGGCAAGGGAGTGGGGGACACCTACACGTCGGCGACTATCTGGGGACCAGTGGAGTCTAAGCTGGGAAAGGAGGGAAGGGCGGAGGTGAAGGGAGGCGAGGGACAGTGAAGTAGTGGTCAATAGCCAGGGCAGGAGGATTGCTGGAGCGGGAACCAGGGTAGTGAGCTGCACAGACAGGAGATGATGTAGCTCTTGGTACAGACAAGGTCTGGGGTGCGAACACGCATGTGGGTGGGGTGGATGGATAGAGGAAAGGATTGTCAGGAACAAGGAAGTCAAGGAGCTGGGAGGCCAGTGTGTTATATGTGAAGCCACAAAACAGCAAGCAATAACTAGTGTAAGTGGTCCAGAGAAAGACAGCGAGCCAGGAGCTAAGATCAGCCATGGGTGACAGTGAATAACCAGGATACCTCATTTCTCACTGTCTGAACTCAATGCATCTCCCTCAAACCCGATCCATGCTGTGGGCTCCTCCTCCAGAAAATGGCACCACCATCCTGACCCAGAAACCCGGGTGTCACTTTGATTCCTCCCTCTGCTTGACCCCCATACCCAATCACATCTCCACATCTTCTTGATTCTATCGTGCAGACACTTAAATCCAGGTACTTCTTTCCACCCGCACTGCACACGCCCTAGTTTAGGCCGATAGTTGCTGGCAGGACTATTGCATCAGTTCCAAACAGGTAGCCCTGCCTCAGCCCCTACACATTGCAACCAGACACACTGCAAATTAGATTGTGTCACTTCTGTGCTAAATCGCTCCAGGGACTTGTCATTGTCCTTAGGATAAAGTCCACAATCATTAATAGGGATTTACAAAGAAAGCATGCATGACCCAGCCGCTGTCCCCTTCAGACTGACTTCTACCACCAGCTCCTGCCATGGCTCAAGCCTCCTGGGTTTCTTCCAGTCTTTGTCATCAAGTTTGTGCTTCCTGGGCTTATGCTGTCCCCTCTGTCTGGAATCCCACCCCCTTGGCTTGGCAAAACCTCCCCTTTCTTTAGGTGTCAACGCAAGAAGCCTCAGGGAGAGCTTTCCAGGAAGCCTTGGATGTCAGGTCCTCTTTTCTCTCGCCCCTGGCACCCTGTGCTTTCCCAGGAAGCCATGAGTTGGGCAGCTGTCCTTTTCTCTAGAATAGAAGCTCCATGAGGTCAGGGACCATGTTGGATTCTTCCCAGAGGAATCCTCAGCACCTAGCTTGGAACTTTCCCATAAAAGTGGATACAAAATAACACATATTTCTGTTGCAGTAAGAAGACTGAAGCCGTGTTGGGACCTAAAACTGCATGGGCTCTGAAAGACTTTAAAAGGACACAGTTTTTTATTCTTGGCATGCATTTCTCTGAGTTCCCTCTCTTCCCACGGTTATTTGATATTTTGAACCTTGGTTATGGGTCAAGATGACATTATTTACATAAATGTAAAGTTGTTTTCCAGCCGGCCTAAAGCTGCAGACTTGCAAGGAGGCATGTACTACCCAGCAGGATCCTAAGACAAGGATGAGAACAGAAACTAGACGGAGGCTTGGCGAGACCTTGCACCTGGCTCCTTGCATGGAGCCCCCACGACTCATGTCTCCCTCCCGTCTGCTTTTCATTTCACACATTCCATTCCCTCAGCCCCCTCTCAACCCCTCAGTAAACCTGAGTCTTTGGGATGGCTTTAGCCTGGATGTTCTCCTTCAGGTTTACGGGAGAGCTGGGTTAGCCTAACACCTCTCCCTGGGTCACTGGTGTTCCTGAATAAAAGCCGACTTCCATTTTCACCGACAGTTGAGTTTTGAGTGGTTTTACTTTGAAAGGGGGCAGGCAGCCGGACCTGTGCCTGGTAACATTTGCAGGAATGGAAGGTTCTAGAAGTGGAGCAGTTCTAAGTGATGACAAAGTCTGGGATGTGGTCCTGTGAGTGGGTTGCTCAATGCCACAGAGGAGGTGGTCATGGAATAAAAAAACAGGTGATGCATGGGTGGTCCCGGCAGCCCCAGGTCCTGGGAGAACCCCAGGAGGAGACCCTGCCTCATGGGCTCAGTCTTTACTGAGTGAGGGGGAACAGGTGGCAGCAGTGGGGGTGGGAAAGAGGGAAGAAGAAGACAGCAGGGGCCAGGGCAACGCGGGGACTTCTCGAGAAGGTGAAGGTGGATGGATCCGAGGGATGGCAAGAGCAGCATGGGGAGCTTGGGAGATCACGGGTAGGACGGAGGGTAAGGCTGTCCAATGACTGAGGGGGCCCTTGGAGGATTAGTCCCAGCCCCCTCCAGAAGCCTCGAGCTGTCAGATGGTGTTTGGCCCTTGCCTGTCTCCTGGCTCAGGACTTGAGACCTCCGGAACAGCACCTAGGAGAGGTCGCCATGGGAGCAGTCGGGTCCCGGAATGAGCTCACCATCCGCTGGACCCAGCAGCATCCGCTAGGGTGGGGATCTGACATCTCAGGGGTAGCTGGCTATGGCTGGTTCCCTGGCCTGGACTTGGGAGCTGCCTTGGTCTGAGCAGTGTGGGGTCATCTGGTTCTGAACTGGCCGAGAGTGCCACCCTGTTCTCCTGGGTTGGGTGGTTACAGCTCTGGCCTGGAATGGGGTGGGAGCCGCCTTTGTTGCCTGGAGTAGGGAGTTCAGTAGATGGTGTTGGTGCCCTGCCCATGACCCTTTTACTGCGGGACACCCATTTCGCAGCTGCTGTGAACACCGGTTGTTCATGGCTTATAGCTGCCCCTGAAGGACTGACTTTGACCAAAGGTCAAAGTGTGTGAATTGAGCCGGAGCCACCTAGCCCCTTCTGCCAGCCTGTGCCACTGAGGTGGCCTGAAGCCAACGGCTGACTGATGTGACAGTTCAAAAGTCCAGTGCCCTTGCCTTCAGGGGGACAACTCTATGGTGGGATACATGACCCAAAGCCCCTCCTATCCTGCTTCCCTTGCTTTGTCTCTCACATGCACACAAATCCCTGCCTCAGGCTCTGCTTCTGGGAACCTGACCTAAGATGGGTGACTCTCTGATCTTGTCCCATAATCAAGAGTGGGCTTGGAGGCTACCCATGGACCACAGGGGACACAGCTCTGGACAGACTCAGCAGATCTGTGTGTGCTTGGCGGGTCCCCTCCCCTCTCTAGGCTCAAGTTTGCTTACCTATAAATGAGAACTTTAGGCTGGTTTTAGTTAAAAGAACAACAGCAACAGAACACACAAACACTTGGCTGAACTCCCTGGGCTAGGTGTGGTAGAGGATTCAGGTAAACAAGACACAGTCCCGTCTCAAGGCGGCTCAGCCTATTTACTCACTTAGCAAGCATTGAAGGCAGCCGGGACCTGGATGACTCAGCCCTGCCTGGGAAGAGCTCCCAGACTGATAGGGAGACACTCAGGGGGACTGATCATGCCAATTTGTGGGCAATGGCAGAGGCTGGCGCTTGGACAGGCAGTTAAGGCTGTCCTTGAGGTCCGAGGGAGGGTCCCAGGGGAAGCGGGAAGGGCATTCCAGGTAGTGGAAACAGCGTGACGAAGGCACGAGGCATGGCCCCACATGAATGTCTGCCTGGGAGCCACGGGCCCTTTGGTGTTGCTGGTGTACAAAAGGATGGAGGGAGCAGGGGATGAGGTTGGGAGGTTGGGGGTGCCATGCTGAGGGCAATGGGGGTGGGGGTGGTGGTGGTGGAAGAATTTTTAAAGCAGGAGGAAATGGCACAGTCAGATTTGTACATGGATAAATTATTCTGTCCCCATAGTGGAGGGCAGATTGGAGCGGCCCAATAAGAGGAAGTAAGGCTGTGAGGTGGGAGAAGGGGGACAGATACAGGAGGCATTTAGGGCTCGGAATCAGTGGGATGTGGTGCTGTGTTGGGATGAGGGCTGAGGGAGGGGAGGGCTGAGGTGACAGGCCTGGCTCCTGGCTTGGACAGCTGGGTGGACGGCCTGTCCTTCATGAGGTGGGGGTGCAGGATCTGTGAGGAGGGCAGGTTTGGGGGAAGGTGATGAGGTCAGTTTGGGATTGCTCAGTGTGAGGTGCCTGTGGGCTCTAGGAAAGTTGTCCAGTGGGCAGTTGTTGGGACTCAGAGGCAGGTCCAGACTGGAATGCGGTTTTGGGAATTGTCAAGGTCTGCGTGGTGGTAGGGGTGGGGGAGGATCAGGCTTCTCCAGGAATGTGTGTCGGTGAAAAGAACAGGAAATTCCACAGACTTGAGGATCCTGAGGGACTGTTTAGCTTCGATGCTCTCCATGGGCCCTGGCCTGTGGAGATGTGCCTCCTACACAACACGACAGACCCCCTCCCCAACTGGCGCTCAGCACCGTCCCCTCCCACTAGCTGGGACCTGTGCTGGGCAGGGTTAGGGAGGCCACAGGCATTCATCTGATGGAGACTCACTGAGTACCGACTCCTGCTGGATACAAGGTCTCTTGGGGTCCCTTTCCTCCTACCTTGGCCAGCTGGTTGCAGAACCCAGAGACCCCTGGAGTAGCCTCTGCCTTTGGGCATCCCCCTGGGGGGCACACTCTGTGTGCATGTGGGTGATGGGTAAGCCTGGATCTGGGGCTCGGGTGCCCACTGGATGGACTTTGAGGTTTATCTGACCCCCCTGCTTTCCCTCCCACCACTCCCCACCTGTCTGCAAAGTATTGGGAAAATCATATTTATTAAGGGTTTTGATGTCCCTATTGCCATATACAAAATCCCCACCAGCCATCAACCTCCCTCCCCTGAGGCTCATGACCCAGGGACCAAACTGCTCCCTGCACTGGCCCCTGGGTGTGTCCTGAGCCCCCACAGCCACCCTCCTCAGTGGCCCTACTGCAGAAAAGACACAACTGCCCTTGCCTGTTTTCCCAGGTGGTCTCAGGGAATAGGTAGGGGGACCTGGTGATCCTATCCACCAATCTTGCCGGTTATGGGTACCCATCTACAGCCATAGGGGCTGACCCAGCCTTCGTTAAGACAGAGATCTCATCTTGGGGGTTCCCTTTCTGGGAAAGGACATATGGTGGGCACGTATCAGGTAGATGACCCTGGCGCCGAGACCGCCGGCGCCTGGGGCTGAAGACCTCCAGGCACTTCTTGCCCACCAGATAGAAGACCTCACTGAGATTGAGCAGGATGCAGATGGCAGCTGTGGTCACCATGAAGTAGGTGAAGACCTTCTTCTCTGTTGGGCGGGAGATGTAACAGTCCACAGTGTGGGGGCAGGGTGACACGGAGCAGGCCACCACGCGGGGCATGTCATAATCCTGGTAGAGGCGGTGGAAGATGTAGAGGAAGCCGGAGTCGACAGCGGCCTTGAAGATGAGACTCAGCAAGTACGTCCACCAGAGCCCACCCCGCTTCTTGCTCGGGTTGTCGTACAGGGACGGGGCGTTGGGCCCGTGCTTCAGGCGGTGCCTGCGCTCGCGTTGAAGCAGTCCACTATATTGGGACATGGAGCCGCATGACACTTGACCACAGGAGGGAGGGTGTATTTGGGGTAGAATGAGTGGAACACATAGAGGAAGGTGGCATCCACGCTGGCCTTGAACACCAGGCTAAAGACATACGTCCACCAGAGCCCTCCCCGTTTCTTGCCGGGGTTCAGGTAGAGGTGCCCAGCATCTTCCCCAGCTGCCTCTAGGTGCTTCTTCTCCCGAGCCTCGCGGTAGGCCACGTGCATGACCACGAGCAGCGAGGGGCACGTGACCAGGATGAGCTGCAGGGCCCAGAGGCGCACGTGGGACACGGGGAAGAACTCATCGTAGCAGACGTTGGGACAGCCTGGCTGCTTGGTGTTGCAGATGAAGTCCTTCTGCTCATCGTCCCACACCTCCTCGGCTGCCACCACGTACACCAGCACGCGGAAGATGAAGACCACCGACAGCCAGATGCGGCTCAGCGCCGTGGAGTACTTGTTCACGCCACTCAGGAGGCCCTGCAAAAATGCCCAGTTCATGCCGGCTGTGTCCTCGGCAGCTCACGTGGACGGGTCTACACCTGGGTGCCAGCTACGCAGGCCTTGGGAGCCACGAGGCCTGGGAGAACCTGGAAATGGGCACCCTTAATGATGGCGCGATTGACAAGACCATTCACAACCAGCCTGTCATCATGTCCTCACTCACAGTGACTCGGCGGGGGAGGGATTGCCATTGTCCCCATTTCACAGGGAGTAAACTAAGGCCTAGAGGCACCTGCCCAAGGCCCTGCAGCTGGAGTAGAAGAGCTGGTCTTGAACCTTGGTCTTCAGGTTCCTAAATCACGGTCTATCTTATTCTACAAAGTAATAGATACGTGTGAAGATAATCATCCTACATGGCTATACCAGCCAACCTCTTTTACCCCAAGGGTCAGCCCTGCAGCCACATGACTTCTAAAGAGGTGGTAAGAAGGTGTGGATTGGAGGATCTGCTCTCCCATCAGCTGCCGGGGCTGGACCAGGGTAAGAGGAGGTGGGAGCATGGCTTTATCAGTTGTCAGATTCAGTCAACTTTTACCAAATGCCAATATGAGCATGGCCCTGTGCTGGGCAAGTTCACATCAGCCCCTTGGTCGATCCCGGAAAAATCTCCATTCTTATTCCTCCTCTCTTGCTCCAGGAAGGCTCCCAGCCCCAATGTTCCCTCCCAAACTAAACAGAAGCTCTTTGGAACCATGGTGGCTTGGCACCATTCCCGCAACCCTGCCGCATTGGTGCTGGGGCCCCAGGGCTGACTGTCTCGACCACAGTGGGTTCCTCTGGAATTCCAACTATTCCGGCTTCAGGAAGGGACTTGGGAAGGAACATAAGTGGGATTCTGGCATGGTCTGTGCCTCATTTTTTCTGTCAGGGATCTCAAACCACCCCCCAAAGCCCGCCCCTATCTGCTTAGTGGCTGTTTTCTAGGCAAGTCTCCAATCATTTCCATCAGGCCCCTGGCTGGTACACCCTAAACTCCACACCCCCTTATCTGGAGTTCCCATCATGTTCCATCTCTAAGCCCTGCCCTCCCCTGTCCCTGATTCAGCTCTCAGCCTCTTCAGACATCCTAGCCCTGGGACACTTTCTGAGCACTGTCCTCTGAGTTTCACGGCAGGATGCATCACCTGTGCTCAGATGGTCTATTTACCTGTCTTTCTTACCAGACTGTCAGCACCTGGAGGGAGGACTGTAAATCTCATTCATCCCTGTCTCCCCAGGACCCAGCACTCGGCCTGACCCGGAGAACACACTATAGACATTTTAAAAACTGAATTGAAACCTCATTTCTTCCTGATCCTTCCTCTTGTCTCTTCTCTGGTCCTCTGGACTCCTTTTAGTCTGGCAGGACAGTCCTTCCCTTCCTTGGAGCTTCCCAGGGGTTGCTCCAGGGACCCTGACCCTCTGGCCCCTCTGGCCCCTCTAGGCTCCTCCCTGAAGCCCGGCCCACAGCCCCAGATCCCCTGGCTATCCTCAGCCCAGCCGGTCCCTTGCCTCCCAGTCCAGTCTCCTGCCCTATTTGGTCCTCACCCGTCTCGGGTCCAGCAGCTGCTCTCCTGTCCCTGGGCTTGTCTGTCTGCCTCGGGGCCTCCCAGAGGCAGCTTTTGTCTCTCACTCCCATGCTGGGTGGGGCTTTCTGAGCCAATGAGCCAAGCGAGAGTGATTGGGTGGGTGGGTGGCAGGCGGACGGGCGGGCTTCCCTGGGCACATACTCCGAGCAAACACCTGCAGCTCTTCTCTCCTGGCCCACGCCTTCTCTCCAGCCTGGCTGGGCATGGCTGGGCTGGGCTCCCTGAGCTGACAGGTATGTGGGTGAGACTGAAGTGACCCCAGGCCCAGGACAGCATCGGCGTGATTGAACTTGCTCCCGTCCTGTTGCCTCATTGCCCCTGCCCCCCGTCCCCAGGCCTCTTTCCTGCCCTTTTCTCTGGAAGCCCAATTCTGAGTTCCTCAGCAGCCCACATCTATGGAGAGGGGCAACCGTCATTCAGCCCCGGAACACATCCTACACTGGTGGGCATAAATCTGGGGCCTAGAGCTTGGGCTGCTCTTGGACTGTGTAGGAGATCGGGGTGGGGGGTCAGGGTGGTGTCACTATGGCTTTTCTAGACCAGGGCACCCACTGCCCTGGTGGAGACGAGGAATGCAGGTTGCAGCATGAAGTGCCCCAGTGGGCATGGGGTCAGGCACAGCCTCGCTGTCTGTCCTATAGGGGCCTGGGCCTCTGGGTTCTGGGGAATGTCCCAGGGAAGTTGGATGTGACCAGCAGGGACTACAGAGGGGCTGTGGGCCTGCATCCCAGCTGGGACAGTGAAGTGTAATGTGCAGCCAGGGAGGGGCCCCTCTGCCTCACTTCCCACAAGCATTTATCAAGCACTTCCTAATACCAGTGATTAACATTTATGTGGCCTTTTACAGCTGGCTACCCTGTCCACAGCCATGAGTTCATTGATCCTCACAGTAATGCCACAGGCAAGGTATTATTAACCCATTTTGGAGATGAGTTGCAGTCACTTTCCCAGAGCCAGTGGAACTTGGGTTCAGTGCAGGCACTCTGACTCCAGAGCCTATGAACTGCAGCACGTCGCCCCCGCACTTGGCTCCTCTCTCTTTGCAGACAACCCACAGCCCTAAACTTGCAACTGGGGATAAAGGTTCGACTTGAGGATGAACAAGTAGTGTGATCCCCAGGAGTGCTGGGGGACCCCTTTTCTGGAGTGGAGGATGACCTCTCATCTGGCTGGACAGAATGCAGCCCTTTGCAGGGGCAGAGAGATGGACACCGTGGCCTGATAAGGATGGCAAAGGCCGAACAACCAAAGGGCACCTTGAATCAGTGAATGAGTTCACATTTATTAAGCCCTGACCATGGGCCACACACATTAAAGGTACTTACACATCTGTTCTCTTATTAAACCCCTCCTTGCAACAACCTTGTGAGATGGCCCTCAGTATCTCCATATTACAGAAAAGGAAACTGAGGTGCAGAGCAGAGGGGTAACATGCCCAAGGCCACACAGCTGGGGCAGGTGGCCAGAGCTGAGGAATAGGGATTTGATTTCAGGCTGTCTAAATCCTCCCTCTTGACTGCCCCCAGCTTGAGACCTCCAGGCTACACCTATGAGAGATGCTGGAACTTTCCAATCCAGGCTCAACCTATCAGCTCAGTCTAGGCAGCCTCTCACAGGACAGTTTTCTTCACGTGGTCTCGGGGGCAGTCGGGTAAAAGAGGACAGTGAGTGTCTGAGCCCAGAAGGATGAGGTTGCCCGAGAGGACGTTGTCATGTTTGCAAGAAGAGGCGGCACAGTCTGGGTGATGCCCCCAGCATGCGGTGTGGGCTCTCCTTGCTGCCAGGCACTTGCAGCACCTCTTGCCCACCAGGTAGGCCAGCTCCACGAGGTTGAGCAGGATGCAGATGGCGGCTGTGACTACCATGAAGAGGGTGAAGATGTTCTTCTCTGAGGGCTTGGAGATGAAGCAGTCCACTATATTGGGACATGGAGCCGCATGACACTTGACCACAGGAGGGAGGGTGTATTTGGGGTAGAATGAGTGGAACACATAGAGGAAGGTGGCATCCACGCTGGCCTTGAACACCAGGCTAAAGACATACGTCCACCAGAGCCCTCCCCGTTTCTTGCCGGGGTTCAGGTAGAGGTGCCCAGCATCTTCCCCAGCTGCCTCTAGGTGCTTCTTCTCCCGAGCCTCGCGGTAGGCCACGTGCATGACCACGAGCAGCGAGGGGCACGTGACCAGGATGAGCTGCAGGGCCCAGAGGCGCACGTGGGACACGGGGAAGAACTCATCGAAGCAGACGTTGGAGCAGCCTGGCTGGCGGGTGTTGCAGTCAAAATCCTTGTGGTCGTCACTCCACACACGCTCAGCCGTCACCAGGTATACCAGCACGCGGAAGATGAAGACCAGGGACAGCCAGATGCGCCCGAAGGCGGTGGAGTACTTGTTGACCCCGCTCAGGAGCCCCTCAAAGATCCCCCAGTTCATGGTGGACGCGTGTCGGCTGTTACTGCAGGGAAACAATAATGATTACCCACATTCATAGAATACTCGCTCTGAGCACTGTATAGGAACATGCCATCATATTTAATCGTCATAACCACCAGAGGAACTACTTTCTATTATTGTCCCCATTTGACAGATGGAGGAAGCTGAGGTTTAGAGGGGGTACACAATGTTACAAAACTGTTAGGTGCATGGCTGGGATCTGAGCACAGGTAACTAAGTTCAGAGCCCAATTCTTACTTATGGAAGTGGGAGAGGGTGGGTCCAGGGAGCCATGCATTCCTCCTAGGGCCCGAGACTCTGGTGTTGGAGTCCTGCAGAGTGAAGACTTACAGAGTTGAGATATTCTGCCTACTCCCTCTGTTCCAACCCTGGCCCTCCTCCTCAGGGAGCTGAGCCTTGGGATGACCCCTTCTCCCTTGAGATGACCCCTTCAGCCCTCTCTGCTTTCTGAGCACTGCTCTCTCCCTAAGACAGACCCCTCCTAAGGGAAACCTGCTCTTTGCCCTTTGCTTCGTTTGGGGGAAAGGGATGGAGAAGAGGCTGAAACCTTGTCCCCAAATCCCTGTCTGGTCTAATACTTCATAAATATCCAGACAGTGTCCTGCTCAGGAGTGACTTACTTGAAGCAAGGCCAGTGAGAATACAGCTGAAAGATAAAGTTAAGGAGCAACAATTCTCTTTATACGAGGGGTCTTCAAAAAGTCCACGGAAAATGCATATTATGAAAAAACCATGAGTGGATTGCAAAAATTTTTTTTTGCCTGAAAATACACTCATGCTAACTTATTATAACATGTCTGAACAGGATCTAGTTTGAGGTTCTAAGAACGATAAGACATCGGTTTGAAAAGAGCCTCTATCAGAGCAACATGTATTCTGCTAAAATTGAAGCAAGAACAAACATCGAATTTATGGTGAAGCTTGGGTGGAAGAATGGTGAAATCATTGATGCTTTACAAAAAGTTTATGGGGACAATGACCCAAAACAATCAACAGTTTACAAATGGGTAACTCATTTAAAAAAGGGATGAGGTGATGAAGCCCACAGCAGCAGGCCACCCACATCAATTTACATGGAAAAAATGAATCTTGTTCATGCCCTAATTGAAGAGGGCTGTTGATTAACATCAGAAACAATAGCCAATACCATAGGCATCTCAACTGGTTCAGCTTACATGATTCTGAGTGAAAAATTACAGCTGAGCAAACATTTCACTCGATGGGTGCCAAAACTGTTGTGCTCAGATCAGCTGCAGAGAAGAGCAGAACTTTCAATGGAAGTTTTAAACAAGTGAGATCATGACCCTGAAGCATTTCTTCAAAGAACTGTCACAGGAGATAAAACAGGGCTTTAGTAGTCTGATCCTGAAGACAAAGCACAATCAAAGCCGTGGCTGCCAAGGGTGCAAGTGGTTCAGTCAAAGCAAAAGCAGCCTAGTCAAGAGCAAAGGTCGTGGCACCAGTTTTTTGGGATGCTCAAAGCATTTTGCTTAGTGGCTTTCTGGAGGGCCAAAGAACAATAACATCTGCTTATTAGGAGAATGTTCTGAGAAAGATAGCCAAGCCTTTGCAGAAAAACATCCAGGAAAGCTTCACCAGAGAGTCCTTCACCACCACTAAATGCTCCTGCTCGGTCCTCTCATCAAACAAGGGCAATTTTGTGAGAGTTTCAATGGAAAATCATTAGGCATCCATCCACCTTACAATCCTGATTTGGCTCCTTCTGACTTCTTTTTGTTTCCTAATCTTAAAAAAACCTTTAAAGGACACCCATTTTTCTTCAGTTAATAATGTAAAAAAGACTGATTGAAATGGTTAAATTGCCAGGAACCTCAGTTCTTTAGGGATGAACTAAATGGCTGGTATCACTTACAAAAGAGTCTTGAACTTGATGGAGCTAATTCTGAGAAATAAAGTTTATACTTTTTCTCTTTATCTTTTAATTCCATGTTTCCAAGAACTTTTTGAAGTCCCCTCATACAATAGGCTTCCTAGAGTAGTGTGGTATTTTAGTGTTTCCCAAACCAGTGTACCATGGAACCCTGCTTCATAGGCTGGCAATAGGAGTGGTGAGAGAAAAAGATTCTGTGTTCGAGAAAAGTTGGCTAACACTGGGTGCAGCAAAATAAAATAGGTCTGTTTGCTCAAAGATGCTAATAAATTCACTTTGTGAATCTTCAAAAGAAGGACAAAATATATGGCATTGCTTAAGCTCTTTTGACCACAGAATCCCTTTTCCTCCTGACACATCTTTTATCATCTTGTGGAACAGCTGTGTCAAGACAGCAAAATGGAAAATGCTGCTCTGGTCAGTTCTGCTGGTGAATTTGGTGTGATGAAGTTATGGAATCAGATTTAAGGAGTGTGATTGCTGTGCAGAGTGAGGGTGCCCACTTCCTCACTTGGAAGTTGTCTGCCTGATTCCTGGGGGGTCCCCTGAGGGCCTTGCGCTGTGGTCTCACTCTGCTGTGCATCCTGGGACCCTGGGAGCCTGTCTGCACAGCCTCGTGCTCTAAGGGGTTTATGATGCCCTTCCAGGTGCTGGTCCAGGATGAAAATCACCAGGCTGCCCTGACCCCCTGTGTGATCTACTGCAAAGCAGGTGGTGATAGCAGCCAACATTGATTGGGATTTATGCCATGCCAGGCACTGTTCTAAGCCCTTTGCATGAATGTGTTATTCCTTTACAGCAACCTTAGGAAGGGATATGATATTTTTTTATTCCCAATTTACAGATGAGGAAAGTGGAGCACAGAGAGGTTAATTAGTTTCGTCACTGTTACACTGCTAGAAAGTAGCAGGGCTGGGATTTGAACCCAGGCAGGCCGGCTCCAGAACCTACCCTCTGGGAACTGCTCAGTCTAGGGCCTGTGCCCCTCCCTTCAAGTTCTGGTGAGCCCATGTGTGCCCACTTCATCCTCTACCTCATGGATCCTGGGTGAAGGAGTCTGGGGGTATCTCTGCTCACCACCCTGTCTCTCTATACCACCTACTCCTTGGACATGGGGCTCCTGCTCTGAATCATCAGCTGGTCTGCTCAGTCATACCTGAGGTGGGTGGAACTCCTGGAAACTTGTCAGGGAACACCCTGGGAGGCCCCAGCCCTTAATCCCCAGGGACTCTTGTCCAGCCCACTCCCACTTGGGGTGGGGTGGGGCAGGGCTTTGCAGGCCCAGGCAGAGCTGCTCTGCCTGCAGAGCTCTGGGCTCCTCTGCGATCCCCTCTCCTGTTCAGTTCCTGGCTCCCACCTTTGCCCATCTGGGGAGAGAAGGAAGAACCCAGAGCAGAGGGGGAGGAGCCCTTCATTCTTCCACCATTAGAACCCAGGGTGGTCCATGTGTACAGGCCACCTCTCCTCACTCCTTACCAGAGAAGTCTCTCCCTGCCAGGTGTGCCAAGGGACAGGGCACATCTGCCCACAGATGCCCTTACCTGAGTTGCTACTCCTCAGGACTTTCCCGGTACTGGCTCCTGGCAAGCAGAATTCATGTCAGGACCAGGGAGGGTTTCTGGGGAAGCTGGTCCCTGGGACAGAGCCTGCTGAGCCGGCAACAGTCTGGGTGTGCCAGAGCCTGGCCCGGGAGGAGGAGGAGCTGTGGCTGGTACTGCCATTGGCTGGGTCCCAGCCTCCCTGGACTGCCTCCGACGAGGCTCAGGAAACTTAGAAGTTCACTCTTCCCAGGGCACTGAGCCCAGAATCCTTGATCTTCCAGGATCCACTAGACCCCCACAGGTCCACTCTGACCCCCTGTTCCTTTTCACATCCCTCAGCTTGTGTGGGAGGAGCTGAGGCCTGTCCTGCCCTCTCACTCCTCAGAAATTCTCCACTGCTAATTCTTAGGACTCCTCTGGCTTCCGTGGGCTGTGTTCCACGTTCTCCTCTCTCTCTGGTTGCCCCTCAGTGGCCTTCTATTCTCATGGCTTCAATTACCTTCGGGAGCTCCAGGCCTCCCAGACTCTGTCTCTGGCACAGACGCTTTTGCCCCTTAAACTGCCCCCACCTGGATGCCTTCTCCTACCTATCTCCTCACCTGGCCAACTCCTGAAAGATGTTGAAGAAATTGCATGTGGGCCCCACACCCCTGCGTCTGAGCCCAACACCCCTGCATCTGGAGCCCACACCCCTACATCTGGGCCCCACATTCTTGCATCTGGGCCCCACATTCCTGCATCTGGAGCCGACATCCCTGCATTTGGGCGCCACACTCTTGCATCTGGAACCCACACCCCTATATCTGGGCCCCACATTCCTGCATCTGGAGCCAACATCCCTGCATTTGGGTGCCACACTCTTGCATCTGGAACCCACACCCTTACATCTGGGCCCCACACTCTTGCATCTGGAGCCCACACCCCAGCATCCGGGCCTCACACCTCTGCATCTGAAGCCCACGCCCCTACATCTGGGCCCCATATTCTTGCATCTGGGCCTCACATCCCTGCATCTGGAGCCGACATCCCTGCATTTGGGCCTCACACCCCTGCCTCTGAGCCCTACACCCCTGCATCTGGAACCCACACCCTTACATCTGGGCCCCACACTCTTGCATCTGGAGCCCACACCCCTGCATCCGGGCCTCACACCTCTGCATCTGAAGCCCACGCCCCTGCATTTGGGCCTCACACCACTGCCTCTGAGCCCCCACACCCCAGCATCTGGGTCCCACATCTCTGTATCTGGAGCTTACACCATGTATCTGGAGCCTTTGTGCCTGCATCTGAGCCCTACACCCCTGCATCTGGACTCACACCCTGCATCTGAAGCTCACACTCTTGCATCTGGACCCATATGCCTGCATCTGGGCTCCACATCCCTGCATCTGGAACCTACACCCTTGCATCTGGATTTGAAGCTCACTTCAGCTAGTTTTCAATCTGGGTGATTTACCTGTTTACTCCTTTGTAAAAAGCTGTGCTTGAGAGGGCTGTCATGAGAAGACAGTGGCCAAACAGTGCAATGACTGAATTCACGGACTGTG